GGGGCGCTCTGCCTACCGGGACGCGTAGTCCGCCCTCCGCGGGCGGGAGAGCGGCGCAGGGCACGCCGGGAGCTGCAGTTCTGCGGAGGCCGGGGGGCCCCAAAATGGGAGACCACTCGCTGCATTCCTCCTTGTTTTGGTGGGTTTTTTTTCATTCTTCATCTTCCGAGGAGGGGTGGGGAGAAAAAGAGGGCAGCAGCAGGGCGTACGACAAGAGTTATTTTTAAGGAGGCTGTCTGCAGGAAGGCAGCGTGCCCCGGAACGCAGCCGCGTGCCCGGTTAGGCACTGCCTCCTGCATTTAACATGCTCGGACCCAGCCATTCGCCTAAAACGAGCCTATATAGTGAATGTACTCAAAAAGTTAACACACTTTCCAGTGCTTTTAAATACTCAAGTATGAGCATGGGCTCTAACATCCTACCTTCCTCACCAATGGTTCTGTTATTCTCTCTCCTTACTAAGTTTGCAAATATCAAGTTGATCAAAAAAAAGAAAATTAGATCAGCATTCATCATCAGGAGTTGTGCTCCCTATCGCAAATCTCCTTATTTTAGGAAAATCCTACTTCAAAAACAAGCCAGCAAAACAACCACTCTTATTTCTGACTTCTCCAGTTTACCTGGCATCTCTCAACTGATTTCCTCAGAGTCTGGCCCAAAAGGTAACTGAATTAACATAAAGTAAGACCTTAGAGAAAAAATGTCTTTATTATTAACCAGGTTTTTTGCACTGGATTATGTGCCTATTGGCCCAGACCGCTAAATAACATCTACACAATGTTTCTTTCATGTTTCAAGAATTGAAAATAACTGTACAAGGTTAAAGTACAAAAGTACACAAGACAGTGGACACGAAATATCCATGTATGAGTTTACCCCATCTGCTGCTTGGTTTGAAAAGTAGAACTTTAACTAAAAAATACTGTCCTCCTATAGTTCTGCCAAGTTTAATGGAAGTGGGTATAACCTGATTACAACACTAACACCAGTATCACTGATCTGATATTTACAAAAAAATTGTATTTTTCAATAAATTAAAGTCAATGCAACACCCATGCAAGCTAGAATGCTAGCTTTTTGGTGAACAAGGACCCAACATTTGAACAAGAACCTTCCATAGTCCCAAACTTTAAAACTGCCTTTGTTTTTCTTCTTTTTTTCAAATTGCATCCATTCCTCGCATTGAAGATGTAAAGCCCAATCCCATTCCTCTTTGCGTATGAGTCTGTGATCTTGCCATTTCGTACTGCGCATCTAGATTTCTGAAAACCTCTTCCTGTTGTTTCAGCGTTTTGTAACTCTCCTCGTCAACAGAACTACAGCCAGCTTCATCCTCACTCTAGAAACCAGACAGAAGAGAACAAACATTAGCTGTGTAGGAAGTGGTGGTTTGTACACTACAGGTGTCTTAAACATAATCTAGGCTTTGTGGTTTTCAAAAGCTTGTAAGAATTCAAGCATTTGGTTTTATTGCTGGAACATTCTAGGGTAGTTTTCCCCTCACCGTCAAGAAACACGCAGAGGCCTTCATCCAGGCCCTTATTTCTGACTCAGTCAAATAAATGTCTCCAGTTAACTTATCTACACAACATAATACTGCTTATCAGATTATGGACACTGGTTACAGTTACTGCTGCTGTTACAGATCGTAACAGTTGCCTCGTTAGTCAGAAACATCACATAATTCTAGAATTTGAACTGAATTCCGATTTAGATGCTGCTTGTGAACTTTAATGAGAAATACTTAAAGTTATTAACTACATCAGGTAGTATCAGGTTAACTTAACATCTTCATCATTTAAGGGACACTTTAAATAAAAAAAAGAAATCGCTATCTTACAATTAATAATAAACTTAATTTCACATTCAGAACTCTTTACCTTAATGCCCATCAGCTTCCTGAATTTGACATTTTGGTCCTTGTTTCCAAAATTTAATTTTTCCCATATTTCTGCTGACTGTGATTTATCCTGTACAAGTTAAAAAAAGATGTATCACCTTTTTACGTAAGTTTCCATTAATATCACAATGCAGTAGCAAGCAAAAAAGCAGTATTAAAAATGAGCCCATTGTGTAGCACTAGCACAGTTGGAAGTAAAAGGTTCCAAGGCACATCTGACATGCCCGCAGCACCCTCACAGAAACTCTTTGTGAGCGAAGTCTACTTAACCATAGGTTTCAAAAAAAGAGGTATATACTTTACTTGGGTAGATTGTACTCATTTCCATAAACTTTGGAAACCTTGTAAGAACACATGCTTAAAATTAACTATAGAAAAAGGAATTTGCTCATTAAAATTAAGCAATATACAGCACAATTTAGGAAGAACTGCTTAGACAGCATTCAGGTTTCTTCTTCCCTCCCTTTTGCCCCCCATGTTGTCAATGCAACATGAACCAGTTTCAGTTTTTCACATCTTATGAAACAGTCTGAAAAGCGAAGTGAACTTGTTAGGTAATAAGACACATGATGACAATTAATGTAACAAACACTTTCATACTAGTACAGAGTGTCAAAAGACAAAAATACAAATATTTAAAGAGCCAATTTTTCCACACTATCAGCAAGCAAAACGTGTACTTAAGTCCAGCAACTTTCTGAAAAAGTAACTGCCACAGGAGCCTTTTTTTAGTTGGTGGCCTTACACTTCACTAATTGCAAGACCATTTATTCAGCATAGAAGTCTGAAGGCTTATTTGTATTTATGACTTTCATTAGTGTTCGTAATGCACTACTCTACTCTGGAAAAGCTACTAGCATGGTTTGCAGTCTTGTTTTTGAAGTCTGGAATTGGACAGGATACAACAATCAAATAGAAAAATCTCTACAGGCACAGAAAGGAGTGGTCAATTATAGTTTCTACAGCTTAGCCATCACTTCTCAGTAAACAGAGACCATCTGTAGTTGAAATTTAGTTGCAAGTTGTAGTCAAACTGACAGAATTAACATTAAGATCTAATCATATCTCTTAAGTTTTGACACTAAGGATTTTCCTAAGGCTTGTGTCACAACCATTTGTCATTGAAGGTGAGTTATCTTAGTTATCTACTGAAGGCTAGTTATCTTAGTCCTTTCACTCCTAAAGTTTTACCTTGGGCTGTTAACAGGGAAGCTGCATAACAGGTATGAAGATAATTTTGCTGGAAATAACGTTAATAAGCATCCATAAACTGTCTGAGAGCAAGATGTTTCCAAACAACTTTTATGGAAGTAAGAAAAGACAACATTACCCCTTCCTTTTTGCCTTGCCAAAGCATCTTCCGCTTCTTCTCTTGCTCAGCAAATTTCATTGGATTCACTGCCGCTGGGTTATAATAGCTGGGTACAGCTATTCCAGTCTCTGCTAGTGCTTTTGCTTGTAGTGCTGCCATTTGAGCTGCCATTGCTATCTGAGGAGTTACTTGTGTTCCCGATGCCAGAAGAGCAGCAACGTTAATAACAGAACCTCCAGTGGCTGCAGCAGCTGAACAACAAAGGTAACTTGTGATCAGACAATAACTTCAGACTTCTCTGAAACTAAAAAGACCCCACAACAACAAACCCAACACCCCCACAAAAACTCAAACAAAAAAGCCCCCCAAACACTTAATCAGAAATAAACTGAAAATGGCTGAAGAACAAATGCATGATAAAATACACTTTACTTGTAAATCAAGAAACAAATCTCTAGTAGTTTTAGTAAACCAGAACTGAAAGAAAAACTAATGTAATTCATGCTTCTACATACCCCTAAGCTAGTAACAGCTTTCAAACCCTTGTTTAATGATGCATAAAGGAAGGGTCCAATGAACATCACAAATTCATTTACCAGCCTAACATACATTTTTGTTGTATACTCAGCAAGTGATAAGAAATCCTGATCATTTTTGTTGGGAATTTTGTGTTTCTTATTTTTTGGTTTTGTTTTTTCAAACATTTCCTAGTTGTAATTGTGATTCTTACATATGGACCAAGTTAACTGTACAAGAAAGACAACCTGCACATCTGTCAGACACGACTGTAGCACTCAGCACATAAGCCTACCCGATCTTCCACTCACGCTATTGTTTAGGAATTAATATAATATACATGGATTACCTGCAGCCATTTCCTGCTGTTTCTGTTTTTCAACCATTTCTTTTTCTCTCTGTTCTTGCAGTTTCTTTGCTCTTTCCAGTCTAGAAGTACACGAGAACAGAAATATTTAGACATGCAAAATCAACAGCAGTGGCTCATTTATGTAACATATCATTGAAATTGTAACAATTTCTGACCTTCTGGCTAATGCTTCCTGTGCATCCCTGGCTGTGTTTCGTCCTCGAAAAGGCGGTGGACTCGGACTCCGGCTATGACTCCTGCTAAAAAAGCTTTTCAATTCTTTTCTTTCGCTCTCTGTAACCAAATTCAACAGAGTTGCTAAAACAATGAAGGTACTTATATATACCTTAACATTTCATAAAGTATTTGATTACAATTCTGAAAAATTGCTTAATGATCAATTTGGAGAGCTCTCAAGAACAGCTTTCACACAGATTATACTAGAACAGTGTAACAGCCACACCTGCCTTGTAACAAGACAGCTAAAACTGAACATTTCCAACTGCAAGATGTAACAGAACATGTAATTCTGAGTATTCATTTATCCTCTTAGTGTTGAGAACAAATAGATCTGCTCTAGAGATTATCACTCTAAAACCTGACAAGAAAAAACATCGTCTAACTTTCGGTAAAGCCAACTGCAAGAAAACTGTAAAATGGATCAAGTTGCAAGAATGCTTTAATACCACAAAAGACCTCACAGCACTATAATTATGTTAAAAGTGAGCATTTTGAAAAGGTCCCATTTAAAAACTGGAATAGTACCCAGGGAAGTGACAATCTCTTCCCTCTGCACACTCTTCACTAAATGTGCTTTGGATGACTTTGAGGGAGGCTATCAAGCTAAATGGAAGAGCTGGTTTAAACATTTATTTATCACAGGTTTGCTCTTGAGAAGGACAGTACTGTGTAGAGAACTATGAAGCATGCATTATCTGGAGCCTGACAATCTAAAAAGAACCCAGTTAAAATATATTTAAGCAAAATGCCAAAATATTCAGTTCAATTCTCTTTTAGTGATCTTCTCCCCACCTTCTCCCAAGTTGCTCTTACTATATATAAATCTAGTCCCATCGAAGCAACAGCCGCTCAAAATACACATATGAAGTAGTATCAGCAGTATCTCTCTTTGCCTGGATCATTAGTATCCACATGACAAGAGATAAGGGTTTACCCCTGTTTAAGCGTCTGACACTGATGTTTTAAACAAAGAAGTCACAGATACTGGAAGTCTCCAACAAAGCTTAAATTACAGGAGGTACCACTCATATTTTTCCCAGATTTGCCATAAACAGTAAGTTGAGATGCACAGAGATGTTTCTGCAGCATTTTATACTTTAATGTTGTTATCAACCATTTGATAAAATAGCTAACTTGGCAACAGCCACTTTAAATGGCACTGAGATATTCTGTTTCTTCTGTTTGCAACTTGGGCAGCATCTACAAACATCATGAAACGTAGGATGAAGTTACAAAAAGAGATCCTTGTTTACATGACAAATCTGGTAGAATACAAAGGAGGCGAGACTTATCTTTTCATAGAAGATGACAAGATGCAGATTCAGGCACTGGGAAGTGACAGATCTGCATTCCTGAGATAAGATGTAATGCATGTTTCAAAGATACCCATGCTGACTATTGTAGTTTGGTCTTGTCTTTGGTCTGATGCTTTATTGCTGGTAAACATTAAGGAAATAAATATTTGAGCTTTTGTATTTAAGTATTTCCATTTGAAACAAGCAGATGGTGTCATGTTTTCCACCTAGCATTTAATCAGAGCAATGCCACAAAAGAACTGCCAGGATGGTCTACATGCTCACAGAACAAAAAGATTACTTTAAATGCTAGTGAGGACAGGTAATTTGAAAAGGTGAACTGGAGATTATGCAAAGAACCATCAAGAGAAGGTCAAACTCTACTATTTACAGACACTTCTGTCATAGCCTGTTAACTGCAACACAACAAATACTGCATTTCACAAACACAGTTGAGTTTTAACAGGGTAGGTTTATCTGGCTTGTGAAGAGTTTTCCTTGAGGCTTGTCTCATAATTTTCTTTCCAAAGGCTTCACCTGAGCCCAGAACTTGATGAAGTGTTCTAGCTACTGTTAAGAAAAGACTTTTGCCTCGCTTATTTTCCTTCTCTAGGATTTGCGAGACAAAAACAGTACTTAAAAGAAATGGATTCCTGCAGTATGTCCATCACTACCCAACAAGGCATGTTTCCAGTTGAAGAAATCGCTAAGCTCCCCTTCTTTTTCTTCCCACATTTACTGCTCTGTTTCAGGTAATCCAAATTCCACTGCAGAAGCAAAAAACTATTCCGGGAGCTGAAGTTTTCACGGAGCCATTAAACACAAAATGTTCAAAGCGACTTTTAAAAACAGTAAGTGCACACCATCTATAACAATTGGGAATAACAGGGAACTGAAGCTTTACACATCACACTGAAGGTGGCTTAAGTACCAGTAAATGTAAGTAATATGTATACCAATTGAAGACCCAGCTCTACTCACCCCAGCTGAAAGTCTGGTAGAAAGTGAGCGCCAAAATAAAATATGACACAAACCATGCAATTCAACTAGTTCTTCAAAAAGGTAAGTCTTCTTAACAGTTTCACAAGTGATGTTGTAGCATTATATGAGAGTGCTATATTCTTAAGTCTCCAACGATCCACCGTAACGTTGAGCAGTCATAAGCGACTTCTGCACCCTTTAAATATGCAATTTTAAATACTCTAGTGAAAATACTACTAAATCAACTGGAACACTGGCAACACTTTCTTGGGAGCTCTGAAGGGACACCACTTTGCATTCAAACTACTTGTTTTACTTTAAACACTTCGGAAGGAAAACACACAGCCATAGGAGTCAGGTAATCACATTTCAGCTTACTCATTCAGAAAAATCCTACAGGGCATTAAGAATGCAAAGGTGACACATACAAACAGACTCAGAAATCTACACCAAAATACTGAATGATTCATCAGTATTGGAAAATATTAACTTCTATACAGTGATGAAAACCTCAACTTCACCATAAAAAAAAGGTAAAGCATGGATCTCAACTCCATCAAACGGAGTCAGAATAAGCCAGTACGTGTCTAGCCAGAGCGTTTCAGTCTGTGCTTCTAGAATTTAAGTTTAATGAAGAAATGGAAGCACCCAAGACAGGGAGAAAAATTAACATGGTAAATATTCTCATGCTGAACTTGACAAAAAGAAGTTGGTAACCACCAACACAGCACAGTACAGTTCACCTGACTCAAAATTCACCTGAACACTACACTGACTGCGCCAGTTCACAGACAAGACAAATTTTTAAATGAACTTTGTGAAGCTGACCAGGATTAGCTTCTGATCAGCGTACCTGCTCTAACAGCCAATGATTCCCAGTTAAAACTTCCCTTTTATGATATATACAAAAGCAAGAAGAAGAGATAAATACAATAGTATTTTTAAAGCAATGCTTTGCCAACCACACTACTCTTGTATCAAACAAATGAAAGGGTTAGTGTATCTTATTCTTCAGTTCTTCCCCTTTAAATATCATTTAAATATTCTATTTAAAATAGTATATTCACTTGTGGTGTAAGAAACCAAAAAGAGCTTGAACTGTGGTAATTATTACTACTCAAAATACTAAGTTACTTTCCTTCTACTTTATCAGTCAAGAGTTCTAAAATGGCGGTTTTGTAAGATACCCACAAAATAACTAACTACGTATTTCTAATTGCTAACAAGAAATCATGGTATGAATGAATCTGAGACACTTAAGCTGTCTAGGACAGATGTTTCTGTAAACGTATGCACACCACCCAGTCCTTAACCCGCTGTATCAATACAGCTGAAAAAAGCCAAATACATTTAGTTACACTGAATAGACATTAACTGGCAAATCCATCATTCTTCTATATATCAACCTGCCACAGAACATTAACCATACACCACCACTAAGTAAGTACAGAAGTTAACACTTACCTGCTTCTACTCCTACTTCTGCTTTTACTTCTGCTTCTATGTCTGTGTCTAGATCTTGATCTAGAACGAGATCTTACACGTCGTTTTCTTTCTCTGCTGCGAGACCGGGATTTTTTCCTATCACGACTTCTACTACGATGACGTCTGAAACACATGACCCAAATTCTTACATATATTCTCACATTTAAATTCAGCTTCTACTAAAGGACAGGTTTGTCACCACAGGGCAAAATGCATCAGGCAGGGTGGGGAGACTACACACGGAAGAGTTCATGCCTGGAACAGTTCAAGTTGTAAGACTAGGAGATGAAATGGGAAAGGATCCAAACACTACCACCAGCCACAACAGACAAGTCAGTTTATGCAGAGTTTACATAAACAATCATACTCATCAATATAGCTATTTTTAGTTGTTCATTAAAGTATCTCAAAACAAACACTAATCTGAATGCAGGAATCTTAAATTCAAGGCAATAAAACTCTCCGCCTCCCCATGGTATTCCAATACCTTAGGTAAGAGATGCCCAAATTTCAGCTTGTGTGTCATGCACAGTCCCTCAGCATATCATTAGCTGAAGCCTGTACCTTGCTATCTTGTTTGCTACAGATCCCTCAGCTAGGAGCAGAGCTGGCTGAAAAGTTCCACCGGCAGCAACCTGTTCGTCCCAAGCAATTCTTCTACCGTGAGAGTGTGCCACCTAGGTGGCCTGTCACACAGGGAGGCTTGGACAGCACTGTCTCTCAGTAAGCCTTCGATTTAGGAGGTAAATAGCCATGACATTGCTAAGGTGTATCTTCTTTCCCATCACTGACAACAGGGAACATTTAATACACTTTGTTTATAAATTTTCTGTACTAGTTGTTAAAAACATGAGGCAGATCACCTATATAAAGCCATAGAGATATCTGGTACTTTTACTCAGAACCAATCTGAAAAAAAAGTAGTGGCAAACGCACTACCCAATGAAAACTGAAACACACAATACAAACTGATGATTTAAAGAGCGTCAGTAATGTAAAGGAGTTGTACTTCAGAAGTCTACACAATTCCCAAACATTGCTTCTGCGAATGCACTTAAAGAATAATAATGTAAAACAACTTACCTTTCACGAGACCTGGATCGTGAATGACTCCTCCCTCTTGATGACTTTCTCTCTTTGCGTTTATGTCTATCCTCACCATTTTCAGATGAATTTAGGCTCTCTCTTCCTTTGTCAGAAGAATGTTCTTTGTCATTGTGGTCTTCGGATTTGTGCTTCTTGGAGGACTTCTCTTTGGATTCATGTCTTCTTGCCTGTTTTAAGAAGAAGTTGGTTCTTTCAGGAAAATAGTGCAACAAAGAGAGTTAGTATGGGCATCAGAAGATAAAAAATGATAAGCTGTGATGCAACATTAGTAACCTTAGGAGTGTGACTCAATCATGAGTGATAGCTATTTTACCTAATGCCACCAACTAACCAAAGTTGCAAATTCACGCTAGAATTTTTACCCCTTCTCCCTCCTCCCCACTGTCTAAAGGATTTCTATAACATCCATCAAGGTATCTTTACAGTATTTTCATATAAGAGTTCATAGCATTGTAACAAAAACAGCTGTCATTCTCAGTTACTGTCTGCATTCCAAACACATAGTAAGTACCTATCTTTAAGTACCTGGCAATTTATGGATATGCATATATACACGTACTGACATTTTTAATGAATATTTAATATTTGACAAAGTCTACCATGTAGAAAGTTACTAAAATACATATACAGTTGCAGACATATACTATTTTGCTTTTAGAACTAAAATAATTTTCTATCCATCATTAGACAATTCTTAGAGCAAAACTCTCTTCAGTCAGTGACTTCCAACAGTCTTTAAAAAGCAAAGTTTTAAGTTACATGGTTGACATCCCATTTTTAGTATTTAAAACTAACATGCATCTCTGAGACCTCCCATAGTAGTTTTAAATTAAAGATATGCTGCTCCACTATACCGCAATTTCTTCCTGCAGTGCCTCTTAAAAAAAGATTCCTTTTTATAGCCGCAATGCCAAAAATACTTAGCAAGGTCAGGCCTGATTTTTGCCAGTGTTTTCCTTAGAGACTAAGTCATGACATCACCACCTTTTCTTAAGATATCCAGTTTATTCATTTCAGACTAAAACCAAATTCTTCAGAGGTTTTTTTTTGCTTATCTAAATGTGTTAACTACTCATAAAACCTTTCCTAGAATCATAGCGCTCTCTCAAAAGAAAGAATTCTGAAGATGCTATAAATTAGCTTATACGCACTTATCCAAGTCTTTCTAACTCCTTATTAATATATATCAATTTTTAAATATATTTGATTATAGTTCAAGTATATAACAATGCTCTTCTTCCTGGTTTTACAGTATTTTATTAACTCATTGAATAAGCAGGTGCTACATAAAAACACATCTTAAGTTTGAGATGTTACCTGTACATTTAAATATGTAATTACATAAGTAGTTATTCTGATGTATGTATTAAAAGAATTACTGATATTCAGTATTTAGTCTACAAAGAGCTTTGTCTTGCAAATGAACTAAACCAGTACATCTACTGTGGCACATTATTCCTCATCTGTTCACTCTGTGAAACTTAGAAACTGTTAAATAGAGTAAGATTAGATCCAAGAGCATGGCAAAACACTGGACATAATTTTAAGCGAAGACTTCTAAAGACGTTTTCTTTTTCTAAAAAAAAAATAAAAATCACATCTTCCTGGCACACACTTAGTAACAAACCACCATTATATCCCATAACGGTTTTAAGATATTTTTAAGGGAAATATGAGTTTGAATGACTAATAGTTACCTTATCATGAAGTAGGCTTATAATTTTGCTATGAGTCTGCAGCGTCTTCAGTTCAGTCTCTTCGCGCATTAGCACGCTGAGTATGATTTATTATAGAAATGTTATCATGTGAGCTAAACAATATATTCAATTTCACAAAAACTCTCCTAGAAAATTTTTCCCTTTTTTTTT